AATCTGATAATGTGATATATGTAATAATATATATCTGCACAATGAATACATTAACTCTATAGGTTTTAGTGCATGTCAATGGTCTGCAAGGCTAAAATCCCAAAGTTCCCTTTAACCCTTATGTTGTGTTCGAGTCTCCCGTCATTTGTATGGGAACAAGGCTTCATGATATCCTCCACAACAGCTTTATAAACACTACAAAACTGACTTTGACAATTTTAGCCAAGTCTGAAGGTCTCTAAAAAAAAAAAGTGTATCATTTGGTGTTCGGGTCTGGGGAGACCCAGCAGCATGTTGTGGGTCACTCGGGGTCACATTTGGTCCAATCAAGATTCATCTTTGACTTTAGACACCCCCACCCCCTTCATCCGCTGTAACAATAATTTAAAACTTTTTGGGGGGAGATTGTATTCTAATATGAGTCTATTATAGTCAGATAACGTAATGATCCACTGTCTTCACTATAGGAAATATAATGAGTGAATTGAATCACATGTTTTACTTAAAGGGGACCTATCATGCAAAATGCACTTTTGTACGTCTTTTATACATGAATATGTGTCCCCGGTGTTCCAGGGAACTCACCAAGTGTCAGAAAACACAACCCTCTCTATTTTTCCTCCATACCCAAATCTCTGAAAAAGGGGCTGCAACGGATCTGATAAAAACTGATCCAGATTTGAACATTCCTCTGACGTCAGGACGGCGGAGCTGACCTATCAGGGGAATGAGAGGTTGCCGTGGCATGGTAACAGCATGGTAACACGACGCTCGTAACTCGGCCCCCTCCTTTACAGGGGGGCGTGGTCAGCTGCAGCGCATGCAAAGACAGGGTGGAGGACTGCAAAATAGAGCGAAATGAGGCATGGCTAAAATGCATGATCTGTTTGGTATTTTGAAAAAGAAAACGTATAAATAATATACCTTATATAGGTATGGCCCTACAATATATTATTCAAATATAGCATGATAGGTCCACTTTAAATATGTGGTGTAATGTGTTTTGGGGCCATAAAATAAATTTACAACAGGATTGTACGGTTATGAATGCATAATAAGTTAGTTATGATAGTTAAAACAATATTGGATGATAGTCATTCTTTTTGAGTGTTTTGGACTGAGATAAATCATGGGTCAAAATGTACCGGCGAACACCATGCGCGGGAACAGCTTTCAAACACAACAGAAGGGTTAATGTAAAGAGCAGGCTTGGTTTCAACAGTAGAGACATGCACTCAAACACATGAAAAGAAAACCTATATATATATAATATATATTGTTTTTTTATGGCTGTTATAAAGAACAGGTGATGTAACATTTTCCTCTCTCTCTCCCTCTCCCTTCATGGTCAGTGGATGTCGAACGCCCGGTTTCTCTCTGCATTTATTCATGGGTTCCTCTGAAAGTTTAATAGTGCAGCTCCATTAATCTGTGAGCCGTTTTAAAAGCAAGAATGAAAGATTCATCTCTCCCTTTCTCCCCCTTCCTCCCCCCCTCTCCTCTGTGACTCTCTGAAATATGTATGAGTGCTGAATCACTGGATGAGAGGAGGAGACTCCTGAAACATGGAGATATTATATTCACACGGCTGCAAACACTGATGTTTACAGCCGAGTTGTTATTCAAATAAGGTCTAAAATCATCATCAATACAAACATTTAATAATCAGAGAGGAGGTGTAACTGTACCTGAGATGTGACGTTACACACATTTACACTTATTCCTGAGTACAACACGTCATATTTAGTTATTTATTCAACACTCTAGCATGTGACTCATTAAAAGCCTTGTCAAAGAGAACATTACGTCACGTTTAGTTAGCTTGTGTTTATTTTTAAATCGTATTCAAACCACCCAGCCATACATTAAAGAATTAAAGGCACACTGTACATTAAAGTATGATTTAAAAAGACTGTAAGAGACTTAGTAGACAGAGCAATTGAAATCAAAAGGTGGGACTAAGAGTAGAACAAAACAATAAAGATAGGTTGTGGGGGAAACTTCTGTAGCAATGGAGAGTCAGGACTCAGAGAGGCACGAGGAGAGCTGGAGCTTTGATGGCAAACACTGACGGTTTTTATTTGGAGTTACGGCCGGAGAATTGACGAGACAGGTGGTGTGTCACGAGTTGACACAGCGGTTGCCAAACCAATTCTGAAGAACTCTTTCTGTAGCTCGAGGTTTTAACTAGTTCGGAGTGTAATAATCAACATTCTTTATCAGTGAGACTAAACAATTACGGACCCTGAATCTAACTAGAGCTCTCGTTCATAGGAAAGAATGTGCGCCAGGGAACCTTTGTCCCTGAACAATAAACTACCTCATGGCGGCTTGTGCTCGGTCATAGACTGGCAACAACAATGCGCCCAAGCTGCTCCTCCTTAAGAGAGATAGCAGCAATACCCAAGGCCGTAGAACTATGCCGTGAGAAAGGAGACAGTGAGAGGAGAACATGATGAACTGTGTCGAAGGTTGAATACCTAAGCAAATTATTCCCTAACATAGGTAATAATGATATTGATCTTTTACACTATGAGTGAGTTCTTAGGGAGTAAGATATCTTTCCAGAAATGTTGCAAAGAGAAACGAAATGACCATACAGAAACATAAGGCATCTAGAAATAGCACTAAAAGATCCAAAATGACTGTATTATCTGCAAATTAGAAGCAAAATGACCTAAAAGAGCCACAAAACAAACCCAAAGTGAACTCAAATTGCTGTAAAAACACAACAAATAGATGCAAAACATTCACAAAGACATGGAAGTACACCCTAAACGACTGAAAATGGACAGAAAATGACTAAAACTGATGCAAAACCACCAACACAAGATGCAAAACAATCACAGAGATACAGATTATATATAAATTATCAATTAAACTGATGCTTTCATCTGAAGAGACTTACAGTTAGTATGTTCACCTGACAGGTTAATCAATACATATGCTGATTTACTTAAAGTGTCGTTAGAAACAGAAAGAGATGGAGGATGTATCTGATGGGTCGAGGTGCAATCTGAATAACCCTCAGCAGTCTGCCAACAAGAGAAGAACATATCAAATATAAATAATAACACCTCCCTGATGGGTGTAATGCTCGGTTCAGCCTGCAGGGGGCGCTCACTGCACTGCAGATCACTGTGGGGACTCACTGTGGAAATAATAATCACAATTTCACTTGTGTTTGTCCGTTTTTGGGTCTTTCTTTACTCTCACTGTGTCACCATGAGGCTGCTGCAAGTACACATACATTAAATACAGTAAAGAAGAAGTAGAAAATAGCTTTAAAAAAGTACAAGTATCTAAAAACTGAAAGTAGTGTTTTACTTTTTATATATTTAATTGTGTAAATGCTTTAGGCTTGATGTAGACATAGATACAAAAATCTAACATATCAAATGCAGTTCACCTCAGTCAGACTGTGACTTTAATAGTTATAATCCTCAGATGACATTTAACCTCAACCACACATATTTCACCTTCTGCAAAAACACAAAGCTATTTACAAAAATGCACAGGTTATATAATATAATCCGTTACACCAATATAAATAGTTTTAAAATGCATGTAAGGTGATATTAAAGGTGGGGTAGGTAAGTTTGAGAAACCGGCTCGAGATACACTTTTTGTTATATTCCATGGAATGCTCTGAACATCCCGATAGCAATGAATATCTTAAGTGCTTTGACAAAAAATCCATAAAAAAATGTCATCTGTGGAAGCCGTGGTACTGTAAAAAGCACGACCAATCATTTTAGCCGGCCCGGCTAAAATAACTGAATGGCCTACCTGCCTGTCAGCCTTCCATCTGTGCACAAACTTATCTCGTGCCCTCATTGGTCATGTGCGCGTTCGTGTGTGTTGGAGGAGGGGCTCTGTAAGGAAGTGGCAGATTTTCTCCGGTTGTGTATTTTCAAATTCTAGCGCACTCGAGCTGGTTTCTCAAACTTACCTACCCTACCTTTAATGCAACTTGGACCCATTTGAAACTACTTCTGCACTTTGTGACCTTGTGTATCTCTGTGGATTTGTGCACCGTGTCCAATCCGTCCAACCCTCACCCTTCACAACAACACAAATAAACACATGTTCGTGGATAATGTCACATTTCTGGGTTTTCTTCTGTGGGTAACAACTATTAAAATCCAATAAAACCCCTCAGGGTCATGACCTCAACCTGAAACAACTGCTTTTAAGAAAATGAATGTCTACTAATATCTGTGTACGTATACTGTATTTGTTTTACTTGCAAGTGTAGCAGAATTATTTTGGAGAAAGCCATATGAATGTCATTGTTATCTTCTCATGGATTTCAGAAGGTGTGGGACTGTCAGGTTTCTTATTTTGAATCCTTAAATCCTTTCCGCTAAATTTACCAATTTTTAAATGTATTTCTTCAGCTGCACAGCTCTACAGCTCGCTCTGTCGGTCAGTCACTGCTTTAGTCCAAGAGGCTGAAATGCTGTGAGGGTCCAGTGTTTGTTAGGGTGCGTGTTTCTACAATAATGTGACTAATACTCACTTGTCCTCTTATTTAATTTTCTGTTTTGCAGAGAGGTTGCAGAGGAGGAAAAACAATAAAATGCAAACATCAAGTCTTTTTAAAAAAAAAAAAATACTTTGAAAGTAATTAATTGCAGAATTATAAAAGGAATTGTTGTGCAAAATAAAAAATGTATGACTTGGGTACAACATCTCTGCAGGAAAACATCACTGCTGTCTGCAGGAACATGAAGAGGGGGGGGGGGGGCACACACTTATGGCCATGTAGTTACAGAGAGAGAGAGGGGGGGGGGTAGGGGGGAGAGAGTGCACACACACACACACACACACACACACACACACACACACACACACACACACACACACACACACACACACACACACACACACACACACACACACACACACACACACACACACACACACACACACACAGCAGTAGTAGCTCCGCCCCCCGCAGGACGCACCGGGCGCAGCAGAGAGGAGCGAGCCGGTGACCGAGAGAGACTGACGCTCCTCCTGCAGCTCCAACTAACTTTCTGCTTTCTTTGTCCCGTTCCTCCTGCTCCGACCCGGTTCGGTTTAGCTCGGTTCGGTTCTGCAGCTGCGGAGCGAAGAGAGCAAAGAGCGCGACTCGCGGAAAGTTTGCAGAGCAGAGAGAGGCGGGGGGATCCGGGGAGAAAGAGAGCCAGAGACCCCGGTCCTGCTGCGGACTGTCTGCGGGGGATTGAGCCTCCAGCAGCGGGGAGACTCGGGGCTGCGGGTCGCTGTTTGCCCGGAGATCAGAGCCCCTCCTCGGCTGACTCTGAGCAGCTGTTCCCGAAAGAAGACCCACAGAGAGTCTGATCCGGACTGCGCGCAAATGGTTATGGACCGAGTTTAGTCCGCGCGCACATGGACGCACGGGTCCTCTGATCCGGTTCTGATTGGGTGAAAACATGAAACTTTTGGACACTTTGTCCTCCTGGAGGCGGATCTGGACCAATCTACCGGTTTTACGGGATTTCTCCTCCTCACAGAAGAAGTGAAATGGATTATTATTATTATTATCGCTGTGCCTGCTGGGAAATAATTAGCTGATAATCGATGAGTGATTGATGTGTGGATCAAAAAAAGTGATTAGATCTACATCAGTGGAGACTCAGAGTCTTTCATGAGTTCTGGTTCTGGTCCCTGTGGGTCTCAGAGCTGAAGACAAGCCGCACATGGAGCTCTCCGGGCGGCCGCTGCTGCTGCTGCTGCTCGGCCTGCAGCTCTGCCGATCCGCGGTTCCCGACGACCGCCTGATCTCAGACCGGTTCGGGGTCTACTGGAACAGCTCCAACCCGAGGTAAGACCCGGACCCGAACCGGACCCGAACCGGGGGTACAGAGAGTAAGACTGGGAGTACAGGGAAGACCGGGATCTATTGGAACAGCTAAAAAAAAAAAAAAACTGAAAAAAACTGTGAAATGCTCCTTTAATCCTCCAAACTTTATTTCACAATATTATTTTATAGATAGATACTTTATTGATCCCAATTTGGGTCATTTTTGCGTTGCAGCACCATAAAAAAAACAAGGCAATGTACATAAGAGAAATTAAGACACAAGAAATAAACAGTCCAAAATCAAAATCAAGACCAGAAACATTATTAAAACCTCCTAAAAAGATTTTGAATCACCAATATGAAAAACATCCAGTCTGATGTGTTTCACTTTTGTTAAACTGTACATTCATATACTTTAAACCACTTTTAGGGTCAATGAAATGATTATAATCCAGTTTATGTGTCAACGTTATGCAAATAGAAAACATATTTGAGTCAAACTGAAACAAATCAAAGTGTCACATTTAGACAATTTGGTTTTACAGCCAAAAAAGAATACAAAATCTGAAACCAGGACTCATCTGTAATGTATTTAACCCATTTGTGCCCAAATACTGTATTTGCTATGATGATAGAAATGCCACAAAATGTGTTATGATTGCTCTAAAGTCTCCAAATCTGGTACAGACATGCTTTGAGCAAATACCTAATATACGACTTTCTTATTTTTACATCACATCAAAAATCTCTCTTTTATCAATAGTCAAAGTTTTGAAAAATGAGGCTACATGCTTTCATTGTGCTTGATACATCTCTTCCATATGCATTCTACGTCTCATATTTGTGCACATTTATGATATTCAATTGCACCTTGATTGTGCTTTTTGTACTTTCTAAGATACAACCACTTTCCTTTTCATTCTATATTAAGTCTTTTGTCACATTACACAACAGGTTTTTCCTAAAATATAATAAAATATAAGGGGAAAACCTCAAATTCTTCAGCCAGTTTGACCTTTAATTGAGAATATATTTTTAGATCTGTGTTCAATTAATCTCAGAGGACACTACATTGCATTATCAGCACAAATGGGATAAATATGAAATAAAAAAACTCCATAATTATCAACAATGAGTAAAAACTGTGAGAACCTTCAGAAGAACGGCAGAGGACGAACAGATATATTCAGATATTGAGACACAATTGAGTCTGATATGACATAAAAATCCTGATAAAACACAGTATTAAGAGTTCACATCAGCTTCATGTGTTTAGTATGATAATACTCAAATATACATGCTAACATACATAGTTTTTACATCCAGTGAGAGATGTGAAGTGTCCTGACGGAGGGCCCGGCCCCTCTGGACCCCCGCAATGCCGACACTGTAAAAAGGTTGCATGAGTTAAATATAAAACATATAAAATATATAACATATCAAATGTATTCTGCTAAATGATTTCTTACAATATGAAAATCTGATAACTTTCAATATGTCTGTAAAAACTGAATACTAATTAATTCAGTTAAAGGGATCAATTAAATTCAATTAACCTCAGCAATGATTTGAAAGATGCATGATTTTCATTCAACAGAATAAGACATTCAAAGAAGATGAAGATTTTTAAGTATTTTATAATTCAATTATCAGTCGGTTCATCGGTGGAATCAGCGAAAGGATAATCCATCTTGAAAATGATCCTTTAGAAACATTTCTTCAAATAAAATTGAAAATGTTTCATTTCTGTTTCACAACACTATTTTCACTTTTCAGCGAAAAAGGTAGAAAGAAATTCCAAAATTAAAAACGTAATAGTTTAGACTTTTTAATTTACTTTGAAAATACTCCATTATGAATCAATTCCTGAATTCAAAATCTCACTTAAGGGAAACTATAGAAGCATTTTTTGCTAATTACATTTGAAAGCGGCACTTTTGTGTTATATTATCGTAAAATCTAATATTATTCAGTGCAGGGTTAGGGTTAACCCTGCATTTAAGCACGATTTAATGTTGTAGTTAAATCAATGTGGAGCATTGTGGATACTTGATATACTATTGCGTAGATATTCATAAAATACTGCATTACATTTAGACATACCGTACGTTTTTATTTATAAAATAAGTCACTAAAGCTCTCTGATAATGTAGTGGAGACAAAATTCAAAATTTGCTTCTGCGCTGTAGTTGAAATATGAGATGGAAGTCAATGGAAATACTTAAATACTGCACTTAAGTCCCTTACAATCATACTTAACGTAATGAGTTCCTGGTTTTCATTATATTCCTTAATAAACTCGTGATAATATCAGACTTCGATCTGCAGTGAAAACACACTTAGCGTAGACACAAAGGGTTAAATGTCTGAGTGTTAAGTCGCTTTAAATTGAATTCTGGTTTTTAGTAAAAACAGTTTATGTTGCACCTGACCCCGGTCTCCTGCTCCTGCTGTGACCTCTGACCCCTGAAGTCACCAACATATCAGTGTTTTCTCTTCTTCTGTGGTGCTTCTATAATAATAACGCCTGGCAGCAGACGGTTAGCAGCTCTCTGTTCTGCCCTCTGATAGGCTGTCGGCTGTCTGAACGCTCCAATAGGAGCCTGCGGTGTGTCTCGGTTCAGTTTCATGGTTTTATTTTGGAGGTTTTGTGGTTTTATTTGAAAGGTTTTATGGTTTTATTTTGGAGGTCTTAGAGCAGGAAGGATATCCATTTAAGGAATTACAGTTAAAGAACAAACACATGTTTGAAGCTGCAGTGTGTGTGTGTGTTTGTGTGTGTGTGTGTGCGTGTGCGTGTGTGTGTGTGTGTGTGTGTGTGTGTGTGTGTGTGTGTGTGTGTGTGTGTGTGTGTGTGTGTGTGTGTGTGTGTGTGTGTGTGTGTGTGTGTGTGTGTGTGTGGTCCTCCAGATGTGAGTTTACAGCCGCCGGATCCCAGTATTCCTGTAGGTCTTCAGTCATATTACTGCAGCATTCCTTCTGTAATCCTAAAATGTTCCTGTATCATCTATTCAGTTTGTTCTGTAGTTTACCTGCACCACTCCTTCAGTACTCCTTCAGTACTCCTTCAGTACTCCTTCAGTACTCCTTCAGTATTTAAGAGGTGTTTTCTTGGGTATTCCCATTGCATTCCTCTAGTATTTTCTATATGATTCCCGTAGTATTTGTGCAGTATTTTCTAGTGGATTCTTGCATTATATTCTGAAGCTTTCCTGATGAAATGTTGTGGTATTCCTTTAGTATATCCTGTAGCATGTCACGTAGTATATCATCCTGTAGTATTTTCCATTGGATTCCCGCACTAAGTTCTGTAACATTCCTGCAGTATTCTTGCAGTATGTTCCCGAAGGATTCCTGTACTCTCCATGCAGTATTTCTGTAGTATTTATGCAGCATCGATGCAGTATTCCTGTTGTATTTCCTGTCGAATTTACGCAGCATTCCTGTAGTATTTTCCATTGCATTCCCGCAGTATGTTCTGCAACATTCCTGCAGTATTCCCGCTATGTATTCTGTTTGGATTCATGCATTACGTTTTGTAGCGTTCGTGTGATATTTTCTGTACTATTCATGCAACATTCCCATTGTATTTCCTGTAGAATGTATGCAGCATTCCTGTAGTGTTGTCCACGTATGGCTGCTGCAGTGTGTTCTGTAACATTGCTGCAGTATTCCTCCTATATATTCGGTTGGGTTCTTGCATAACATTTCGTATAGTACAGAAAATATACAGTTCACGTGATATTTTCTGTAGAATTTATGCAGCATTCCTGTAGTTCAAGGTTCAAGGTTCTTTATTGTCAAACTAACATAGCTACAGAGTAATTATGTAGTTGAAAATCTTATGTCACAGGCTTCTCCAACAATGCAACATAATAACATAATAACAATAAGAGCAAGAGCAATACAAAAAGAATAATAGTTATAAAATAAAATAAAGTGATGATGTGGAATAGTGCAGTACGAGTCTATATACAAGTTATTGGAATGATATATATATATATTAGGTATTAGATACATAATACTGAGTAGCAGATGAATGTTTGAAGTTGTTTCAACAGTTCAATTTTTTAACAGTCTCACTGCCCGCGGGAAGAAACTGTCTCCGAATCTTCTTGTCCTTGTATAGTATTTTCTGCTATAATTTACTTTGTTGAGATGCAATTATTTTTGTTTAAGTGTTAAGTTTAATTATAACTTGATTATGAAGTGAATGAAAGTATGTTTTGTGTTTAAGGTGTTCAACCTGAATGATGCATCAGAAGGCTATCAAGAGGCTAAATGAAGCAGAAATAATTCTGCAATAACTCAAAATAAAGAGGAATGATGCAAATCTGAGTTGTCCCATGTGTCCTTTTGGAGGGAATCGGGCCGTTTTCAAGTTTGGGCAGGAGTCAATCATGAAGACCAGATCATAACTTGACAAGCATTCCTGTAGCATTCCTGTAGTATTCTCCATTGGATGGCTGCAGTGCATTCATTAAGATACCTTTAATATTGCTGCAGTATTCTTGCAGTCAGTTCGCTATAGGATTCCTGCTCCATCCATGCAGTATTCCTGATATCTTTTCTGTAGTATTCCTGAAGTATCGGTATCGTATTGATCAGTATTTCTCTGGTCATTTCTACAGTAGTAGTCCTGTGATATTTCTCTGCAGTATTCCAGCGGTATTTAATGTAGTACTTTAGTTCTGGTTCTCAGTGTCATGGTTCTCGGTACTTGTGTCTAAAGTTCAGCTCGTATCAAATGTTTGTTTTCCCAAGCTGTGAGTATGAAATATTAGACGTACAGAGTCCATAAGGTGCAGAGGAGGATAATGTGATACAACTGAGAGCTTCATCATACGTGAAATATGGAGGCCTTCTCTGTGTGAGTGACACATGTGGTTAACAGCCTGAGATCAGAAACATGTGGGACTCTAAAACTGAGATGTAAAAACGTAACGAAAACCAAGTTTGAGTCAGCCAACCGTGAAAATAATGTCACCACTTTTCAGAAGAATACTTTGAACAGTGTATCT